TTTTAAGTGAACTAGCAACATTCTGAAAAAGAACATCGATCTCGTATCTTCGTATTAAAATAGAAAGATATTCTGTCTTGTCTGTCTTGTCTGTCTTGTCTGTCTTGTCTGTCTTGTCTGTCTTGTCTGTCTTGTCTGTCTTGTCTGTCTGTGTCTGTCTTGTCTGTCTTGTCTGTCTTGTCTGTCTTGTCTGTCTGTGTCTACTTGTTTACTAATTATATAGATGTCTCTGAGCTATTTTGTGAAGATTGATCACTGTAAGAAATGATAAAAAGTTTGAACAAGATTGGTTTCCTCTTACTCTAGTTAACTATACATAGTTTTTACCAGTGACTGGGGTCTCTAGTGTGGTTTAGGTAATGGTTTAACATAAAGGTACTAGGGGGCTGGAGGAGAGGGAGGGCTGGAGGGGCTGGAGTAAGGGGAAGGCTGGAGGGGCTGGAGGAGGGGGAGGGCTGGAGTTATGTTATGGAATGACAACTTCTTAATTACACATCAGGTTATTTAAAATTCTGCAAACTTATTTGCATCATAGAAATGGCGTGGTCAAGGGCTTTTCAAAAATGTATCACTTTTTGGACATTTTTTTTGCAAACATTTTAACTTTATAACTAGATTTTGCAAAATAAAATTTCAATTTTTGCTAAGTTTTAATTTTTTTCCGATTCTAAAAGTAGTAAAAAAGAGCTATCCAATGATGTATTTAGAGGGGAGGGGGGGGGGGTCAATCCCTCAGCGAATACTGGTTTTCAAGTACCCCAGCAGGGATTGGGTTAAAGGAATTAAACGTATAAGAGCTTTATATCTAGAAAATACTTTCACTCTCAAACTTTGATTTATAATTTAATTGTCTGCAAAATAAATAAGACTTTAAAAAACATACTTATTTAACTTTAGTAAAGTTATTTATTGATTGAAAGAAGAAACACATAGCACGTGCCATAGATTACGGTAAAACATAAAACATGTGTATCTATTTACAAAACACGTGTCAAAAAAAGTTGTTGAACAATAACATGACCAAAAAATAAAATTAACTTGTAGATTTTTATGTTTTGACTTTTGATACAGTGACAACTAGAAACCTATAGAATAGGCATGAACTTTATAGCAATACATAAGTGTATGGGATGTTGTTAAAAAATCAAAAAGCTTAACATGCACTAATTAAATTACTACTTGAAATTGGTTTGTTTAAACTGAACAATTGCTGTGTTTCATGTTTATTGAACTATTTTAAGTGAAAACTTGAGTATAAAAGTCGTCTTCCTATTCCAGAGTTTAACAGGGAAAATGTGGATTAGATGGAAACCTGGACGGAAAGTAGATATTTAATGGATCTAAAGTTAACATAGAAAATGTGGATAAGATGGAAACCTAGAAGGAAATTAGATATTGAATGGATCTAAGGTTAACATAGAAAATATGGATTAGATGGAAACCTGGACAGAAATTAGATATTGAATGGATCTAAAGTTAACATAGAAAATATGGATTAGATGGAAACCTAGACAGAAATTAGATATTGAATGGATCTAAAGTTAACATAGAAAATATGGATTAGATGGAAACCTGGACAGAAATTAGATATTGAATGGATCTAAAGTTGAAAAAGAAAATATATGGAAATGGTAATTGTGATATAGAATTGATCTGAAGTTGAAAAGTATATATATGGATCAAATGGAATTGGTAAATGAGATATTGAAATGATCTAAAGTTGAAAAAGAAAATTTTTGGATCGAATGGAAATGGTAAATATGATATGGAATTGATCTAAAGTTAAAAAAGCATATAAATGGATCAAATGGATATGGTAAATATCTTATTGAATTAAAGTTGAAAAAGAAAATATATGGATGAAATAGGAATAGTAAATGTGATATTTAATTGGTTTAAAGTTGAAAAAGAAAATATATGGATTAATTGGAAATGTTAAATGAGATATTTAATTGGTTTAAATTTGAAAAAGAAAATATATGGATCAAATGGGAATAGTAAATGTGATATAATTGGTTTAAAGTTGAAAAAGAAAATATATGGATCAAATGGAAATGTTAAATGAGATATTGAATTGATCTAAAGTCTGACATAGAGAATATGGATCAAATGGAAATGATAATTGTGATATAGAATTGATCTAAAGTCTGACATAGAGAATATGGATTAAATGTAAGATAATAAAGAATCAGTGTACAAAAGAATGTATTCTCGTATTGTGTATTGTACAGTGTACACACTGTGTCGTATATTTGGTTGATTACTATACAGTTTAACTCCCTAGAGAATTTACAGCGGTAAACCCCATCTGCTTTTATGTATTTTCAGGGATTATGATATAAAGATAACATGCCAATATATGGCTTGAAAATCAGTGGATCTTCCAACCATCTTTGAAAGAAAAGGGGGAACACTTTTTTAATAAAGGGGCTACCCCGCACTGATCAGGGGCAACAACCTCCAGAACCCCTATTTATCAGGATGCTGTATAGTCCCTCTTAACCTGTATGCAAGACATGTTTGGTTTGGTTGTTTGGTATGATTGATTGATTGGTTGGTTTGTTGGTTTGTTTTTATAGATTAGGGAGGAACCTGTATTTTAACCAATACAATTATTATCAGATTTGTATCTTTTTACTCGTTCTTGGTTAATCTAATACTTTCACATTGTCATTCTTTCATTTATTTGTTTCTTTTGTAAATAGTTACGCTTAACCCTATCTCTGCTGGGGTACTTGAAAACCAGGATATGCCAGGATAAATCCCATGTTTTATGTCCAAATATGACAAATGATACATTATTGGAAAGCTCTTGTGCTCTACTTTTAGAATCTGCAAACAAATTTGAAAATTTGAAAAAATTGAATTTGTTATCGCAAAATACAGTTTTGTTGTACGTTTCTGATTATACAACCATTGTTAGTATCAATTGGTTGCGTAGGTTGGGTGTACTACATTGAAACCTAATTTCAGTCAAATTTTAATAGTTTCTTTTTGCAAAAAGGCCAAAAATGTTGTTGAAAACACTTTTAGGCGGCCAACGGATGGTTTGCATTCGAGAGGGGTTATGCCGAGGAGGGTTGAGCTAAATAGTTCCTCTGACCTTAAAGATTTTATTAGAGCTAACAATGAAATTATTTCCTTTACTAATCAGTAAATGGGTATAGGTTTGTTGTAAGTAACCCTCAAAAACTTAATAGAATTCAACATACAGGAAAACCTTAACAATATTTTGTCAGATGATGATTTGAGAAATGTATTTAAATAAAATACAGAACTGTCAATGCGTTTGCATTGATACCTTAAGAATTGAAAGTGTGTTGGCAAAATGTAGAATTTAACTGATATTTGGAAGTGTTTTTTAGATTTTTTAAGGTGTATTTACAAAGTTGTTTCAGGAAAGATTGAATGTTTAAACAACCTTCTGAGACACCTAGCAGACAAATTCGGAACTTCATTCCTCCAAGCAACGCGTATGATCATAACTAACTTACTAGTGTGTAAGTGGGAGCTTTAAGGAGGGGTGTGTTCCAATAAATAGGAATTTGAGACACAACTTGAAAATTCCATTTTGATTTCCGATAATTATTAAATAAGAGAAAGTGCATAAAAAATGAGTTTACACAAAATGTGCGGTCTTTCTTTGTATCTTTGAAATTCAGGGATTTATTAAACATTGCATAACAACTTTTTGTATTTTAAATTTAAACTGGACATATTTTTCAGTAACACATTAAATTTTAAAGGCGCACAAAAGTGGTAAACCTCACTTTGGATATCCCAAGATCGTCCCATGTTTGACGTATAATATAATTCAAGGTTGCGTGATTTGTGTACGTTTCTGATAAAACACATGTTAGTATCCAGTGTACGTTTCTGATTATACAGCAAATGTTAGTATCCATTGTACGTTTCTGATTATACAGCAAATGTTAGTATCCATTGTACGTTTCTGATTATACAGCAAATGTTGTTTCTGATAAAAAAGGTTAGTATCCTGTGTACGTTTCTGATAAACAAATGTTAGTATCCAGTGTATGTTTCTGATTATACAACAAATGTTAATATCCAGGGTACGTTTCTGATTATACAACAAATGTTAATATCCAGGGTACGTTTCTGATTATACAACAAATGTTAGTATCCAGGGTACGTTTCGGATAAAAAAATTTAGCATCTAGGGTGCGTTTCTGATACAACACTGTTAGTATCAGGTGTTGTACGTTTACGTTTCTAAAACAACACAAAAATGGTATTCAGTGTACGTTTCTGATACAACCAATGTAAGTAAATATTGAATTGACTAGTATATGATTTTATCATTGCTATCCAATGTTCCTGTTAGAAAAACCAATCGATTCAGAGTATGATAATTATTCAAACTGACATTCCTTATTTATTTTTTTTCGGGTTCAATTTTATAATTGAATTGAATAAAAATATCTAAGATTTAGTATCAAGCAAACTTTACAAAGCACTTTATTTTTGATAATTTTGAGATTGATGAAATGGTTTCATACTTCTATGTCAAACATGCCCAATTATACTTTACAACTTACAAAAACGAAGACATTGAAAAGTTGTTAATCATACTTCTAAAGGATTTCGTAATATTCTCTAGTTATTCCAGATACTTAAAGAACAATTATTTCAATTATATTTATTTATATCATTTGTAATATATACTTTCTATAATGTTATTCTGTAATAATATTGATTACATAAATGGATAAATTACATCCAGCCTCTTATATATAGATTTATACTTTGTGCGATACCGTTATATTAATTTAAGATACTAACATATACAGTTCTTATTAGTTTTTTTCTAAATATCTTGATAATGTCAGGATGTATTTTCGAATTTTATCATTTGATTTATTACTCTTATTTAACCGATATTCTTGATTTTACTCTTGTTTATACGATATTCTTGATTTTACTCTTGTTTAATCGATATTCTTGAGATTACTCATATTTAACCGATATTCTTGATTTTACTCTTGTTTATCCGATATTCTTGATTTTACTCTTGTTTATCCGATATTCTTGAGATTAATCTTGTTTATCCGATATTCTTGAGTTTACTCTTGTTTATCCGATATTCTTGAGATTACTCTTGTTTATCCGATATTCTTGATTTTACTCTTGTTTATCGGATATTCTTGAGATTACTCTTGTTTATCCGATATTCTTGAGATTACTCTTATTTATCCGATATTCTTGAGATTACTCTTGTTTATCCGATATTCTTGAGTATACTCTTGTTTATCCGGTATTCTTGAGTTTACTCTTGTTTATCCGATATTCTTGAGATTATTCTTGTTTATCCGATATTCTTGAGATTACTCTTGTTTATCTTCTTGTTAATTGCATCATCAAGAACATCAAGATTATTAGTGATAGACCACATTCCAGGACCAGGCTCCCTGAAATAGGAATATTTTAGCGACGTTTCTCATTATTTTTCTATTTTCCTTGAAAAAAAACGTTATCCAGCTTTGTATTTCATGTTAAATACGTGCGCCTATGCACATTGAGGTTACGTATTGCGGACGCACATTAAAGACGAATATTCAAAATCACATGGAGGGCACATATTGAGGAACCACACTGAGTACACACAATAAGGACGTTCACTAAGGACGCACACTAAGGACGCACACTGCGGACACACACTGAAGACACACACTGAGGACACCCATTGAGGTCGCCCATTGAGGACACATGTTGAGATCGTCCATTGATGACATATATTTAGGAATCACTATGAGGACACATATTGAGGACAAATAATGAAGACACATATTGAGGACAAATAATAAGGACACATATTGACGACGCACAATGAGGACAACTATTGAAGACACATATTAGGGGCGCACAATGAAGAAACATATTGAAGACACATATTGAGGACGCACAATGAGAAAGGCTTTGAAGACACATATTGAGGACGCATAATTAGGACAAATATTGAATACATATCTTGAAGAAGCACATTGAGGCAGCACAATGAGGTCTCATTTAGTGGACGCACAATGAGGATGCATATTGAAGTCGCCTATTGAAAACACATATTGGGGACGCACATTGAGGACAAATTCATATTGGAGATGCAAATTGAGGACACATTTTGAGGAACCACACTGAGGACGTCCTTTGAGTTCACAAATTGAAGATAAATATTGAGGACGCACATTGAGTACAGGACGCATATTAAGGACGCAAATTGAGAAACCACACTGAGGACTCACGCTGAGGACGCACACGGAGGCGGCACAATAAGTACGCACATTGAGGTCGCAGATTGAGGACCCACAATGAGGACAAATAATTTGTGGGCACAAATCGAGGACGCAAATTTAGGAACCACACTGAGGAAGCACAATAAGAACTAATATTGAGGACATACATTAAGCCAGTATTTTGAGGACGGGCGCACTCCAAGGACGTACAGTAAGGACACACATTTTGTAAGGGCACATAGAGGACGAAAATTTGAGGATGTGAAGTGCAACAGAACGAACAATGAAAAGCCTTGTCGAGGATGCACTTCAGGACACATAATGGTGTGACAAAATTAAAGCTTTAAATAATAAAATGCTACGTCAAACTATTGTAAATTGTAGGTTAGAATGAATTTTATATGACTTCAATTCTCTTAGTGAGAAGAACAAAATTGTTATGAATTTTTATAATGTAACCAAATATAGTTGTTTTTATAATGTAACCAAATACGTTTGTTTTTATAATGTAACCAAATACATTTGTTTTTATAATGTAACCAAATACATTTGTTTTTCTCACAACTAGAGGAAATACGAGTTTAAAAAGTAATTTCACTTAAATTTAGCATTTTCTTTTGTCTAGTTTAACATTTTCGGAGTTTTTTTTTATTATTTTACCGTTTCCCCATTCTTGACATCGAAGTCCAAAAGTTATTTCTGTTAGAGTTCCTTTTCACCGTTCGTATTTCCTAAAACCAGATTTATTGAAAAGAGAGAAAAAGTTGAGCAACGTAGACTGAGTTGAACCACTTCCTTGTATGTTGGTTCAAGTGGAAGAAAAATGTTCAACTTAGTTTACGTACACAAGTCATATAAATTTGAATCTTTGCTACAAACTTTAATTTTCGTAATCCCTTTATCTTTGCAACCCAATGACGTATACCATTAGATATTTCTAACTATAGATTTTGTTAGATTATATAATCTTAGTTAAAATACTAAAGGTTTACACCATCAGGTTGCAAAGATGAAAAATTAGGCCTACTTTACCAAGCACGCTTAATGCACACAGTATAGGCTGGCAAGATTGATTGCATAATAACAAATCTTTAAATCTATTCTTTAAATCTGGTTCCTGGTTGTATTTCTCCTGGCTTGACACAGGTAGATGATCTAGAAGTTGGAGCAGAGTAAATCTATATTTTCTCCATAATATCTCATATTCCTCCTGCAGCTCTTCTAACTAAAAAGAATCAAGTTTAAAGGGACTATGCATAACATTTCAAATGATTCTCAATTCAAGATTTACATGTCCGATTGTCAGCAATACTTTTTAAATGAGCAGAAATGATTTCCTTTAAACCAGAATAAATCTATATTTAGACCTATTTCCAGTCATTGGATTTCAACATTTCATAGCTCTTTGGAAATCCTATAACAAAAGCAAGCAAATAGCACAATTTTTGCAAAGAAAAGACGCCTTTAAAGGAAATTTGAACATTTTCAGTTTTTCTTGAATATACATTTAGGTTTTAAAAATTTTTTAAATGTTTTTGCATAATCGAATTTCCTGGTTCAAGGGCTTTTCAGTTATGTTTAATTAATTGCTTTTTGCGCAATTTTATGTTGATGGAAATTTTTCGCTTCATAACTACATTTTGCAATAAATATTTGGATTTTTGCGAATTTGCCATTTTGTTTGCAGATTTTTGAGGTAGAGTCTTTGGACTTTCCAAAAAAGTATCAAATGTTATAGATTTGTATCACAATAAGAAAATAAAAATGGGGGAGGTCAATTTGACCCCACGCCAGGCAACCAGTCAGTAAACCAAACGTCAGGCTAAATAAGGTTAATAATAATTGACCTGAATCTCTGTAGTTTGACCGGTCAGCTGATTATCCGTGGGTTCTGCTGAGGGTGCCTGGTGGGATGGTTGCTCCTGTATCCCTGCATAGCTGCTAGGGGCTTGGAGCCGGGCCTGTACTCCATTTTAGATTCATAGTTATTTTAAAAGGAGATTCCTATTTTATCAAGAATAGTAAATGGCTCCTCTATTTGTTTTCATTGAAATACCCCAAATTTTATTGGAGATCAAAACTTAAGCTCTACAATAAAAAATTTAAGGTCTCCGAAGAAAAACTTGAGGCCTACAATTATAAGCTTTGGGGTCTACAGTGAAAACTTAAGGTTTACCATGAAAACTTGAGGTTTACCATGAAAACTTGAGGTCTACAATAAAAAACTTGAGGTCCACATTGAAAATTTTGAGGATAAATGGCTTGGGGTCTCCAAAAAGAAAATTGGAATCTTGGCTGGTTTATAATGTGATTGATTAATACAATTTTTTTATTTTTAAAAATTTGTTACTAAAATGATCCCTGAGTTAAATGTAGAAGGAAGAGTAGAATGCATGGTACCTGCATTCCTAAAACAATGTTTTTGTACATTGATAACCAGAAAACAATGGAGTAGAAAGACCACATAGTTACTTCTTATACTTCAGTGTATTTGATGTTGTTATAAAGCAAATAATTTTACAAGACACTTATTAAAATACTGATTTAGTGAAATTGGTCTGTTTACACTGCACAGTTACCGTGGCTCATACTCATTGGACAATTAAAAGTGTAAAGAATAAAATAGAAAATAATCTAATAATCTGATAAATATATAAATATATTTATATTTTTATTTTTTATGATGCATAACCGATCCAAGCCTAAAAACAAAATGAAATTATATGTTATATAACTCTACACATGTTTTAACCTTACGCCCAAAAACTGAAGAAAAATAGTTGTAGGTCCACTTGGTGATTTATCTACATAAAAGGCCAACTTTTCCTGGGTAGGTTGTATTCAATCGCAAACGACAATTTTAACAATAAATCGGCACTTCTGTTTTTTTTGTACGTCTTCACAACGATTGAATCGAGCTGGGCTGTTTTTTTAAAATATCTAACGTGACCCCAGGGATGGTTTTTGAAGTGTAAAATCAAAAACTGTGTTTGGAAATTTTGTTAATTTTAACTGAAAATCTTCGAAAATTTGTCTTTAATGGAGTGCAATGAAGAAGAGAAAATCAAAAGTTTGCAACTAAAATTGTTGCAAGAAAAGGTGCCTAAACGCCTATATGTATATACAGTAAATAGTAAATAATGACCATTAAAGGGAGTGTTCGTGAAAAATGAAAGGGGGTATAGGCTTACGGCGAAAAATAATCGCTTTTGATCGTTACTAATCTTACTTCTATCTGTTGGGTCTAAAAGGAGAAAATTGTTAAAAACGACTAATACCGAAGAACGTAGCGTCCATATAAATTCAGAAAGTTGCAATATTCGACTCGTATCGTAAAATAATCAATTCAGATATTACAACCTAAAGTCATCGATTATTTTTCAAATCATTCGTATATAGATAATATTTCATATAATTTGTCATTTATTTTATATACAATGCACTTAAAACGCATTTTTTCCGTTAGGTGTCTCTACTAGGTGTAATTATTCAAGCTTAGAGCAGAAACATCTATACCCCCTTTCATTTTTCGCGAACACTCCCTTTAAGATCAAATTAATTTCGTCTCCATATTATTAATTGTTAAATTTCTCACACATTACAAAATTGTGTGATAGTAAATATAAAGAAGATGACTAATTTGTGGACACCACTGTACGTTTATATAAATATTTCTGGCATACAGTATATATGGAACTGTATGTAGTATTGACCCTCTACCCCTGTATGTATATATATATGTAAACAGTACCTGAATATATGGAACTGTACGGAGTATTGACCCTCTACCCCTGTATATATATATATATATATATATATATGTAAACAGTACCTGAATGTATGGAACTGTATGTAGTATTACCCCTGTATATATATATATATATGTAAACAGTACCTGAATATATGGAACTGTATGGAGTATTGACCCTCTACCCCTGTATATATATATATGTGTAAACAGTACCTGAATGTATGGAACTGTATGTAGTATTGACCCTCTACCCTTGTATGTATATATATATATGTAAACAGTATCTGAATGTATGGAACTGTACGGAGTATTGACCCTCTACCCCTGTATATATATATATATATGTAAACAGTACCTGAATATATGGAACTGTATAAAGTATTGACCCTCTACTCCTGTATATGTATATATATATGTAAACAGTATACCTGAATGTATGGAACTGTATGTAGTATTGACCCTCTACCCTTGTATGTATATATATATATGTAAACAGTATCTGAATATATGGAACTGTATAAAGTATTGACCCTCTACCCCTGTATATATATATATATGTAAACAGTACCTGAATATATGGAACTGTATGGAGTATTGACCCTCTACCCTTGTATGTATATATATATGTAAACAGTACCTGAATATATGGAACTGTATGGAGTATTGACCCTCTACCCCTGTATATATATATATATATAAACAGTACCTGAATGTATGGAACTGTATGGAGTATTGACCCTCTACCCCTGTATATATAATATATCTATGTAAACAGTACCTGAATGTATGGAACTGTATGTAGTATTGACCCTCTACCCGTGGCACTAAACCTTAAATACTCTCCTAGCAGAATAATACAAGAGATTTTATCCTAGATAAACCTTCTACAGGAAAACAGGGATTACTGCTGACGAGATAAGAGAGAGAGAAATGTACATTTGTAAAGGGTGTTTTATTAGAAATATTTATGTACAGGGTGTTTTATTAGATATAAATATGTTCAGGGTGTTTTATTAGAAATATATATGTACAGGGTGTTTTATTATAAATATATATGTTCAGGGTGTTTATTAGAAATAAATATGTACAGGGTGTTTTCTTAAAAATAAATATGTACAGGGTGTTTTCTTAAAAATAAATATGTACAGGGTTTTTTATTAGAAATAAATTTGTTCAGGGGGTTTTATTAGAAATAAATATGTACAGGATGTTTTATTAGAAATATATATGTACAGGGTGTTTTGAAAATAAATATGTACAGGTGCTTTATTAGAAATAAATTTGTTCAGGGTGTTTTATTAGAAATAAATATGTTCAGGGTGTTTTATTAGATATTAATATGTTCAGGGAGTTTTATTAGATATAAATATGTTCATGGTGTTTTATTAGAAATAAATATGTTCAGTGTGTTTTATTAGAAATAAATATGTTCATGGTGTTTTATTAGATATAAATATGTTCAGTGTGTTTTATTAGAAATAAATATGTTCAGTGTGTTTTATTTGATATAAATATGTTCAGTGTGTTTTATTAGATATAAATATGTTCATGGTGTTTTATAAGAAATAAATATGTTCAGTGTGTTTTATTAGATATAAATATGTTCAGTGTGTTTTATTAGATATAGATATGTTCATGGTGTTTTATTAGAAATAAATATGTTCAGAAATGTAAGAAATAACTTAGTCATAAAGCTGTTTTTTATGTAGACTCGTTTAAATCCAGTTACACTTTAAAGATTTGGTTAGTTAGAATGTCATGAAACTCATGACAAAATGATTTAACCTTTCTTGAGTAAGAGTACGATAATGAGAGAACCAAATTATTATTGAACCATCAAAATTGTTTTCTGATTTTAAAACTATATGTTTGTCTCAAAAAGTTAAAACTACAGTTTTTCTAAATTATATATCAATCAATTTATTAGCATATCATACACACGATATTGTTTATCTATATCACTTGCTATCTGTTCCACTATATCCGTGTACTGCATAGTGTTTCGAACAGAGATAAGAGAGTTACAGAGATCGATTATCTGCTAAAATATGCGATATTTTCCACAGCATGTTCTATTGTGTACAAGTACTGTACACGACCAATCACCAAACATTTGTATTCAGGGATATTTAAGGATCATTTGGATACGAAACACAAAATCTTTAAAAGAAGACTGAATTCATTAATGTTAGATTTCATGTTTAAAATTGGAGTATTTCTTTAAAAATTGTAAAACTTAACCCCTGAATGGGTATTATATGCAACAAGTGGCCCATGAGATGGCACTCTAAAAACCTATCGTAAAAACGTATAGCATGTCGTGCCGGGTCAACTTAGGCCTACGTAGCCCACCCGGTGAAAGGAGATAAACAGTCTGTGTAGTCTGTGGGTTTGAATTAGAAATACGCATGTGCTGCTTTAATAATAAGAATGGACACGTTCTTTCCAGAGAGTGTTTTATAAATAAAATAAAAACAGGGCAAATTTTGAGACACGGGCAGCCGTTGTACATTTGAATTTCCGAGCCAGGTCAACCTTTCCAGTCCCAGTTTGTACAGTACCTAGCTCTATGGACAGGTTTAGCCGGTGGAACAAGGTTGACGCGGTCAGACTATAATATGCTTCGTATATAGGTTGAATTTACTTTTACTAAAGGGGCAGATATGCGTGGAGAGGGTGTTCTTGGTGGAATACATCTTTAACTCAGTTTGCCTGAAAAAAAGCTAGAAATGAATAATGAAAAATAACAGAAACAAATATGATGCTATGCAGTTTTGTCAACAATGGGAGAGGCTGAAAAACCTATCCCTCAATTTTTAAATATAACGCAAATCTGCCCCTTTGGTAAAAGTAAATTCATCCTATATGAAGCAGAAAGTCTGACCGCGTCAACCTTGTAGCACCGGCTAGTCTTGTCCATAGAGTTAGGTACAGTACAAACTGGGACAGGACAGGTTGAACCGGCTCGGACATTCTTATGTACTAAGGCTGCCCGTGATATAGAGAGATAATAAAAAAATCTTAAAGAATAAAAAAATAATACACATAGTGATTATCTAGAAAATAGATTAGCAGACATGGTGTTAAATTTGAAATTTAATGTTTATAGGACACATGAGATAAAAAACTTTAAAAGGAAGTTTTGATCTAAAAAAGAGCTGTTTTTTTGTTTGTTTGTTTTTTACTATAAATACATATAAACAGTGTTTATTTCTTTTTTAAGAAATCAGAAGTGTTTAATTTGAAAAAAAATTACTACAGAGGTCATTATATGATAAACACAATGCGGGTTTATTTTTTAATTGATTTACATTTATGTGTTTTCTTTCATGACAATTATTGATTAATAACTTTCTTTAGCTTTGTCATTGAGAGAGAGATAAATTATTGCATTATTTCTTTGATTTGAAACTAATTTCTCTATTCATTCTGATTTATTGCATTGGTTTTTATATTATTATTATTTATTATTGCCAGATATATTAATTTAAATTTATTTTGTAATACTTTGCTGAATTAAAGATATTGAAAGATTTGAAATTGTGTTAACTGTAAAGATACACCCACACAGAATAAGACTGTAAAGACGACCTGAAGCTCATTAAATTTGACAATCTCAAGGTTTAGTAAAATCCTATACATGAATAGCATATGTAATGTAAGTATATTGATTTGGTAAAGAATGAAACACGTGTACCGGCTTGGTGTATGTCTGTTTGTTTGTGACTGATAAACGTCAAAACGGCTGAACCAATCGGGCCCGATCATTTTTGTAGGACTTCACATGACCCAGGGAAGGTTTATGCATGCTTAGAAGAATAAAAAGTTGCCTCAAAAATATTTTGAATTTCGTAAAATTTTTAAAATCCAAAAAAAATAATTGTTTATCCGCAAAGCGCCCTGATAGCCTAGTATTATAATGATGAATAGTTTACAAACATGTTTTATACTGTAATCTACATTGGAAGTTCTTGAATAATTTTAAGATTAATCCAGAGAAAACTTAAAATTTTTGTTTTGTTATTGTAACATCCTGTAAATAAATGTTTATGCGCACGTTTTCTCTTCAAGGGACAGACCGGCTATGTAAGGTAGTTAAACTGAGTAAGCAGTGTTATGAACAATTCTTTAGGACTGATTTGAGACATAAAAAACTTTTCCACGATGTATAAATCCTGAGTTTGATCGCAAAGTCGACGTTCAACTCAGGATTTACAGATCTTTAAAAAGTTTTATATGTCTCAAATGAATCCTAAATAATTTGTCCACAACACTGCATACTCAGTTCATTTACATAGCCGGTCTGTCCCTTTAAATGCAGATACGTCTGTATTTTTGTATGATATATGTCGTAGATGCCTAAATCCTAAAATGATTGAGGGATATACAGACAAATTACACAAATACAATAACAAATATATATTTTCTAATTTTATCGTTTTACCCGGATTCATTTTTTATGTGTTTAAACAACCGTGATTTGAATTGATTAATGATTATAAAAGCTGCACAATATGCTAGGTTAACATTTATTTATTTGCAAAACAAACTGATTGTGCTCTAGTCTCAGTTTTGATGATATTATTAAAGTATTTTGGACATTTAAAATATCATATTGAGGTAGCAAAGCAAATCTTGCATCACGCTTTCACAGAGTAGGTGGTGAGGGAGTGAGTAGGGTCTAAGTTTACGGGGGAAAAGAGAGTAGGGTCTAGTTGACATGGTAGGCGGTGGGGGAGGAGGCGGCTGAATAGGGCTTGGGTATAGAGGGTAGGTAGGGGGGTTGGGGGATATTTTGTAGGTTTACAGGCTAGGTATGCAAGATTTGGATTGCAAAGGAATGACTGTAAGCATAATAGTGTTCTAATTTGACTGTAGGAGAACCCTACTGTGTTTAGTATGTAGATACCATCTTATAAGTAGGGCTGTTCAGAAACCATCTTATAAGTAGGGCTGTTCAGAACACACAAGATGATATTTCTTTACACTAGTTATTTTATAAAATAAGTGATACTATATTATACAAAGATAAATTTTTTTATTTTTGAACATCCTTAAAGATAAAATCTTTCCCGATATGTGCTGTCACAATGGTATTTCTTTCTACACGACCACCAAATCTTAGATTTGCCCTAGGCCTGTACAGTAGGATGGAGTTTCAGGATACAGGATAGAGTTACAGGATACAGGATAGAGTTACAGGATACAGGATAAAGGATAGAGTTACAGGATACAGGATAGTTACAGGATACAGGATGGAGTTACAGGATACAGAATAGAGTTACAGGATAGGATAGAGTTACAGGATACAGGATAGAGTTACAGGATACAGGATAGAGTTACAGGATACAGGATACAGGATAAAGTTACAGGATACAGGATGGAGTTACAGGATACAGGATGGAGTTACAGGATACAGAATAGAGTTACAGGATACAGGATAGAGTTACAGGATACAGGATATAGTAGTAGGATACAGGAAAGAGTTACAGGATACAGGACAGAGTTGCATAATGCAGGATACAGAAGTGGGATACATGACAGTATTACAGGATACAGCATGGGATAGAGTTACAAGATGCAGTAGGATTGAGTTTCAGTTTACAGTGGTACAGTTGCAAGATACATCTAGTAGGTAGGATATAGGAAAGAGTTACAGAATAAAGGATAGAGTTAGATGCTAGTTCTAGTCGTAAGGCGCAGTAAATAGTTACAGGATACAGTATAAAAGTTATAGGTTACAACTAGTAGAAGGATACAGTTAAGAGTTCCATAATACAGGATAGAGTTAGACGCTAGTTCTAGTAGTAGGGCACAGTAAATAGTTACAGGATACAGTATAAGAGTTACAGGTTTCAACTAGTAGAAGGATACAGTGAATAGTTACAGGATACAGTATAAGAGTTACAGGTTTCAACTAGTAGAAGGATACAGAAAGTGTTCCATAATACACTAGGATGGAGTTACAGGATACAGGATAGGATGGAGTTACAGGATAGAGCTAGTTGTAGGATACAGGATACAGGATAGGATGGAGTTACAGGATACTGGATAGAGTTGCAAGATACAGTAGTAAATACAAATATATATATATATATATATATTAGGGAGGAGGATAGAGCTGGTAGTCGGATACAGGATAGAGTTAAAAGATACAATAAGTAGGATACAAGATACAGAATTATTGCGACGACTTTAATACAAGTTTCAGTACATGGATACAATTTCAGGATTTAAGATACACCATTGGAAAAAATCAGATTTGTGTTTTAATATTTCCACAATTCAATTGTCAAATTTTTCTAAATCCTGGATAAAACAGGATCATGTTTCAGTAGTTTCAGAACTCTTCATTTTAATGTTATTAAAAGAAATAAGCATTTTCTTAATCATATCAGCTGTAGTACACTCAGAGGCGGATGAGTAAGTAATTTATTTTTTAACAAAAACCGCAATTTTGTTTTGTTTTTATTTTCAACATTTTTTTATTTGATTTCACTCTTAAATTTTACCTGATCACATGTGTATTGCAATCTTTATAATAAATATATATATATATATATATATATATTGCATTCTTTATAATAAATAAATAAATAAATATATATATAAATATATAAATTTATTTATTTATTATAAAGAATGCAATACACATATATATGTATATATATATATATACAATAAAACTTCAAATCACGGTCAACGCCGGGCACTTCAGCTAGTACCATATAAGGGGGAATAAAAATGGACTGCAATGTTTTTGTTGGCTCGTGTTTAAGCCGTGTTGACATGCAGGAAAGGGGAGCACCTGCAAAACGTTTCAACTTCCTTACTGAATGTTTACTCACAGAACGTTTCCTACAGAAAACGTTTCCTGCTACAAAACGTTTCCTGCCAACAAACGTTTCCTACTAGAAAACGTTTCCTGCTACAAAACGTTTCCTGCCACCAAAAGTTTCCTGCTACAAAACGTTTCCTGCCAACACAAGTTTTCTACTATAAAATGATTCATCCAACAAATTTTTCCTGCTACAAAACGTTTGTTGCCAAAAAATGTTTCCTGCTACAAAAAGTTTCCTCACAAAAGTTATTCAAAATCAAATGTAGTTTGTAAGAATAATAACATTTCCGATTGTTGAAAATTCGCAAATATTTAAAGACAAATACGCAACGTTTTGTCATTCTTTAACTTGTTAAATGCTTTTGCAAAAGAGAACCAATCTTTTTGTGGCAGGTTTTGTACAGGAAACGTATTGAAAGGGGTTCGGAAATTTACACAATACAATTTTGAAATATGTTAAGCATTTTAGATTACTGTAAACATTTTTGAAGTAAAATTCCTAAAATGACAAAAATATAAAAAAAATTTAAATATCAAAAGCTAAAAAAAAATTATTCACAAAACTTAAATTAATCTTAAATTATTTTGACTATTTGAATAATTTTTCAGTTATACCTACCAAGAATACAGGAATCCAGAGATTTAAGTAAATAATTCATACGTTTAAAATAATTTTCTATTTGTCAAAAATAAAAAAATAATTTTTGGTTTAAAATTCTGGGTAAAAACAGTGAAATTGCTGAAACCATCGAAGATAAAGGATCCAGACTTGGTAATAATACTTTTTTTAAAGAACAACCAATATCAGCCAATTCATGTGTGTCTACAATACTTCCATTTTGATAAAAAAAATCCTTTTTTTAAACTCGAACTAATTTTAATGAATTCAAGAAGAAGTTGAACCATGCAAAAAGATTTAAACCATTTCGCTTGCTCGATAAATTTAGCCAAGTCCAACTATCTCTCGCTAATTATTAAATGTTGTCCATGGTTAAATATGGTAATATCTGGTTTAATATGGTTTAATCAGGTTTAATATGGTTTAATCTGGTTTGTTCTGATTTTATCTGGTTTAATCTGGTTTAATCTGGTTTAATCTGATTTTAATCTGTTTTAATCTGGTTTATTATGGTTTAATCTGGTATAATTTGTGTGTCTCTGGTTTAATCAGGTAAAATCTGGTATAATCTGGTAAAATCTGACAAAATCTGGCAAAAAAAAGGGTAAAATCTGGTTAATTTTATTCATTTTCAGTGAATGCTGCAGAAAGTAGTATGAATGAATTCCCATTTATGGGGGCCTACTATTGGATGAAAAAGAACGGTACAGTAATGGTTCATCATAAAAAAATAATCATTGTTTTCGTGATTTTATTTTATAATTCTCAAAAAAAATTCTGCTTTCTGATTCTAACAAATCATAATTCTCTTTTTCAGATTTAAAATCAGACGTTAAGTGCACAGTTTCGTTGTTGAGGTACCATTTTACAAATAAAAAATATTCATTTTTACTTATTGTTTTTTATGCATGGTTCTACGTTTGCAATAAATTGCTTGTATTTGCAGTCCTCCATTTGCGATTAATTTCTTGTATTTGCAGTCCTACATTTGCAATACTACGTTTGCAATAATTTCTTGTATTTGCAGTCCTACATTTGAGAATTTCTTGTATTTGCAGTCCTTTGTTTGCAATAATGTGTTGTGAGTCCTAAGTTTGCAATTAATTTCTTGTATTTGCAGTCCTATGTTTGCAATAATTTCTTGTATTTGCAGTCCTACATTTGCCATCACTGCTGCTCATTGCTTTTTCGAGCCAAATGATGTTATGGCTAAAGATTGTGAAGGTAAGGGATCAAAAGAAAAAAGTTAACAATTATTTAAAACAGAAATTACAATATTTTAGGAAAAATTTTCCCCGCCAAAAAGGCCAGGTATGTAGAAAAAAATTCGCGAGCAACATTTTCTCAAATTTTATGATTGGTTTTCACCAAAACACACTGTTTGAGCACTCATTTATTTTATCTTAAACGTTAGCAGCTCCCAAATTGGTTATGGATATCAAGTATTCAAAAAGACGATACCTCAAAAAAAAAAAAAAATGGGGGGGTGGACTTTGAAGGGTGAAATATTTGCTAGATCAGATGCAAGAGCAGATGCAGATGCAAGAACAGATGCTAAAGCAGAGGCAGCTCGAACCACCAATATCAGCTGTAAAAGGTAAAAAAAATAAAAAATAAAAAAATAAAATTATTAATATTTATTTTTCAGTTACCCTTCGGGAGATTTAAAGATCTGGTTGGAGGACGATTCAGATCTATGGTTTGCTTTCGATTTAAATATTTATTCTTTTTAGACAATTTATATCATTCTTCTCCTCTTTCAGAAAAGAATTTCTTTTTTATAAATGTGACATGTATTCACAATATAGTCTCAAATATAATTCTTAACATTCATGTTCATTAGTATGAGAGCTAACTAGGCTTAAAATATGATTTTGAGAAAGAACATGTTTAATTGTAAATTTATTAATAGGTATGTTCTTTTTGGTGCAGTCACAGCGACAAGGTGAGAAGACTTAACTTAATATGATTTCTAATTTAAAGAATGGCTTTATAAATCTTAAAGTTACTTTAATATATAATCAAATTACAGTTGGGATCTACTCATAAATTAACCCACTTCCTGAAAAGTTATTAAAAAAGTGACATTAATTACCTTTAACCCTATCTCTGCTGGGGTACTTGAAAACCAGGATATGTTGGGGGGGGGTTCAGAAAATTTCAACAGCCTCAGACCAATACTTTTTGAGTTATGTAAAAAAAACTACAGGGGGGGGGGTCAAATTGACCCCCCCCAGCAGGAATAGGGTTAACTACCTAAATACAATGGTCAGCGTTTATATCAATACAGTGAAGGCAACTGTTCTATTTAGGTTTTGATTTCAAACAACCCCTGTTCAAATTACAAATTTAATTTTTCAATTAACAGAATCCTTTAATTAAAAAAAATCTGTTAATTGGAAGGTCTTCTTCTTTTTTTAAGGCTTGGTAGAAATCTAAATTGAAATAGAATATCGTTGTATTGATATATACGACGACAACTGTATTAAATTTATTCTAGACAAAATGGATATCATACAGAAGGGAAAATACATGATATTGATTACTTTATAAGGCATAAGGTATACCTCTACCCAGAAAATATCACATAAATCTTAAAATTAAGATTTGGTTAATTTTGAATTCTGTCCCATTTTGCCGTCTATCTGTATGTAAACTGTACTTGCTTGTACTGACTGCTTGCTCTCCGCGGGTGTGAGATAATGCTCGGGTTGGACACTTCTTGATGATTTGGATACTTTCCCCACAATATAAAATTATGGATATACATTGATAAACATCTGCTGAACGTAAACATTTAGTTGTTAACTGTAGCAATACTAGAAAATATATAAAAAACGTTATTTTGTCTTGTATGTCGTCTTATTTTCATATTATATTATTTAATATAATTTGATATTTTAAATTTGTGATTTAAGACCAAGATACAGTACCTGCACATTATTTCATGCCCGGACACTTTATAACGTGACACCGATACATCACACCAACCTTAGGGATATATTTGTAATAATTTTACTAATTTATTTTTCAGGACTCGTATGGTATGCCAGATAATGATATGGGAGGCTACGATATAGGAATATAATTACAATTAAAATAAGCATTCTTTATTTATCTATTTTTTTTCTTTCAGCCGCTTTTTTAGCTTTAAATTATTTTACGTTATAACTACGTATACCCCCACCCCCTTTCCAACAGTTTTTGGACAAACCCCAAAAAGAATTGGTTTGAGGCTGTTTAAAGTTTTAAACTTTTCTAACGAGTACAAACCCCTACTTTAGGCAACCTAATAAAAAAAGCAAGTCGCAAGGTACGAAATAGCAGCCATTTTAGTGGATGTCATCTTTCTTTTAAAACATTTAAATTTTTTTTTCTTAAATTTTGGTATTACACGATTTTTCGTGGGTTAATCGTAATTGCATGAATTAATAAAAACACAGATAGAAGACTAGATGTTGTCTTTTCAAGATATAGGGGTTTTTCGTTTTACAACAACCCTAAGGCAAAGGCCCAAAGCAGTTACGTGCATGCTCTCTTTTTGTCTTGTAATTCAACGCTGCCAACTTCTACAGGCCTCTGCCTCAGTGTTATCTTAAACGAAACCCCCCTAAATCTTGTTCTGTTCTATCTGTATTGTTATTAATCTATGACTAGATCAGAGGTTTAACGTAGTTGATTGTGATTGATTGCAGGGTTGTTAAAGTTAAAGGAAGCCTATACAGCTGGAATCCCTATATGCTTACCTGGGCCTAACTTTCAAGATACACTTATAACATCTAGACTTGGTAGGTTCATGTAATCTAGAGTTTTCTCGCAATAAATTTAGCACTTTGCTTCTACAACAGAAACTTTTTTTCAAATACAATATGCACAACCCCCGGGAAGGTTTATGGCCAATCAAGATTGAAAAACTGTGCTTGGATAGAAAGTAGACTTTTACCATCTTTAAAAAATCCATCAATGTAAACAGACAAATCCGCAAAAATATGTGTTTATAGGAATTCAATAAAAAAATGGCAGCTTGAAAATTCGTTAAAAGTTGAACTTGTTACTAGAACAGAGACGCAAAGTACTCTAAAAGCCTATAGTATTGTATAGAGATGGGCATAGATTCTGTAAACTAGCAACATTTTGAGAACGAACAAAACTTCATGTGAACGATGGTGTCGTTCAGAGAAGAAAAAAAACTACTAATTGACGAACAGTAAAAAAATGATAAAAACCATCTTAATCGTTCATATATGATTTATAAACGTGAAAAAATTCTAACTTTTTTAATGAAGGAACATTTTTTTCGAATCAAATTATTTAAAAACAAGAGTTTTTTCTAAGAAACTTTTACAAAAATTATTGTTTTCTACTGATAGAACGATTTTACTGATTAAATAATTTTGCTGATTGAACGATAATCGAAATACATAAAAAATGAACGATCATTTTAGAACAAACGAAATGGTTCGCTCATGAACAATGAACGAACTAAATGAAGAAAAAAACCTCTCTAATATTGTAAACAAAATAGAAATTTAAATTTCAGCTGGTTACGGTAAATACTACAGGAAAAAATGTCAAACTGGCACTAAGGTAAACTCGGCCCTTTAAAAAAGCTCACTTTTATATGTTAAACACAATTGTATAATAACAACATTCCTTCACTTTTATTTCTTACAATTTCAGCTTCAGGAATATTCTAATTGTTTGAAAATTCTTATACTTGAGTTTGGCCAAGACCAAGTCTAAACAATATTTTATTTAAAAAATTATTTTTAATGATTTAACCCTATTTCTACTTAAACGTCTTCTTTGCCCAACATACCTTAGGGGGGGAGGGGGGGGGATGAATCATATGAGAATTACTTAAGAAACAATCTTTTTTAAATAAAAAGATAACCTCCCCCCCCCCGCCCCACTGGCCCTCCATTGCAAGGCCATCAGGATCAGGGGTTAAAAAGTCTTAACATTTATATTTTTAGGGTCCAATGAAGAACCATTACTGCCTGACTAGTAAAAAATGTTGGGATGCTTTAGATTTTAACTGTGAACCAGAGTTTACACTCGGTCATCAAATGTAAGTTTTTTTAAAATTTTTTAACCAATAAAATTTTATAATTTTGCATGCGTTGTAAGTTTTGTTTTCCAGTAATAAAGAGATGGGCATATTTTTCCAGTAATAAAGAGATGGGGATAGTTTTCCAGAAATAAAGAAATGGGCAGGGTTTTCAAGTAATAAAGAGATGGGCATAGTTTTCCAGTAATAAGAGACGGGCAGGGTTTTCTATTACTAAAGAGATGAGCAGGGTTTTCCAGTAATAAAGAGATGGGCAGGGTTTTCCAGTAATAAAGAGATGGGCATAGTTTTTAATAACAAACAAAATGTTTTGTGAATGCACAAGCATTCAGTAAGAAAACAAAAAATGATGGAAAAGGAACGAATTCAAATTTTTACTGAACAACTGAAGAAAAGGAATGAAATGGGTAGCTAGGTAACAAACGATGGACGAAGAAATGAAAAAAAAAGTCAATATTTTTATAATTTCTAATTAACCTATTATTTTATTGTTCAGAATTCCAATGAAGGGTTGTCAAAAACAGTCAACCCCAGCTCAATACTCAAGGTGAAACAATTCTGAAAGAATTTATTTAAAAATTGAAAAAATTATTTTTAAATAATTTAGTTACCTTGTATTCATTTAGATTGTGTGAACGGGCAACTCTTAAGGGAGGTGTGCAACACCGGTATAACGTGTGATTTTTATATTTGTAATTGATAATTAATAAATTAATTAATTAGATAATTGTGGAATATTGCTTTCATTGATTTATTGGTCATATCTTTATTTATTTATTTTAATAATGATTAATTGATTAATTGATGAGTTGATAATTGATTAATTGATAGATTGACTAACTGATTATTTGATTAATTGATTTATTGAATAATTGAATAATTGAATGATTGATTAATTGATTAAATGATTAATTGTTTAATTGATTGATTGATCAATTGATTAATTGATTACTTGATTGATTGATTAATTGATTTATTGAATAATTGATTGATTTTATTGATTAATTGATTGATTGATTAATTGATTAATTTATTAATTGATTAATTAATTTATTGATTAATTAATTAATTGATTGATTGATTAATTGATTAAATGATTAATTGATTGATTGATTAATTGATTGATTGATTAATTGATTAATTGATTAATTGATTAATTGATTAATTGATTAATTGATTGATTAATTAATTGATTGATTAATTGATTAATTGATTGATCGACTAATTGATTGATTAATTAATTCTTTTGTAATTGATTAGCACTATTGAATTATTTGATTATTTGATTAAAACAAATTCAGATCTGGAGACGATGAAATACATTTATTCTACTTTCCTGTTGATAAAGGTAAAAAAAAGGTTTTTTTTTAAATTTAAATTTTAACAAAATTTTATAAATGATCAGATGTTCTTGTTTGTGCATTATCGTAATGATGGGTAGACTAGGTAGCTGTAGAGAACTTGACTCTCCTAAAGTCGGGCAACAACTGAAGATTTTCCTTTTAAACTAGGTTTCCCCGTTTCCTTAGCTTTCCAGGCTTTTTCAAATTCTCATACTTTGATCAAACTCCAAACCTAAAATATAAGTGGACTTTTACAAAAAAATTGTAATAGTCAACAGTTTTTTTTTGACAACATTTTTTCAATTTTGATGTGAGTTCCATTTTGAAGTTTATTGAATACAATCACACAGACAAACAAAATAAATTTGAATAAATATATGTTATTCATTATTAAAATATCTATTTTTTTAGAATTTTTGCTTACAAATTCTTTTTGATAAAATAAAAGTTTGCATCAAAAACTGTAAAAAAAAGTTTGATTTTAGCAATAATTTGAACAAAAACTTGTAATTTTTAGCCAAGTTTTCTAAACATTTGCCATTGGAACTTGGTAACAACTTGTTTTGTATTTATTGATGATAATGTTTGTAGGTGGAAAAGATGGAGTATTTTTGGAAACTTGTTACAGGGAAATAATTTAAGCAAAATAAAATCTTTAAAAATTAATCTTCAATTTAAAGTTTTTTAAACTGTTGTTAAAAATGGTTATTATAGTCCAGCCTAAATTCTTCAAAGAAAAGATTCTGATGAGTTTGGTTGGTGCAGGTAGATAATTAATATAAAACAAAATGTAATAATGGTTAGCCATGGCCCATGGGCTTTTCGGATTTTTTTCATTTCGTTGGTTCATTGTATGACTATGTGAACGACCCATTTTAATGGTTTTTTTAATTGTTTATTTCCAAAATTTTTGTTCATTTTCGTTTTTTTCTTACTGAATGATTGTTGATTAAAATCGTTGGTTCAGTAAAACTGTTCATTGTGTAAAATCTTGCTATCAATAAAATTGTTCTTTAATAAAAAAACTATCATTTTTTCAAAAGTATAATCTAAAAAATGGTTTGTTGAGTAAAAAACTCTTTTCTATAAAAAGTTTGTTAAAAAAATCCTTTCTTCTGTAAAAAAAAGGTTGTTTCTTAAATAGATGTTGGATTTATAAAATTTTAATTTTGTGGCATTAACTTATAAAAATATTTTTTAAAATACATATTTAGAACCGAGGGAAATTTATACAAGAGCTTTCTTGGAAGTGAGAAGACAGAGAGAATCAGTAAGACACTAATTTAAATATATTTTACTAATTTTAATTCATTAAAACTATGAAGATAATTATGTAGATAAATAAAGAAATATAACTTTTTTCGTTAACCCCTTGCATTTTCTATTTGACACTAACCCCCTTTTGAAACTTTTGAACTTAATATAAGAAATAGTGATTTAAAAACTTGTAACATGGAAGTTGAGTGAAGACTATTAGATCGTCTTTGATAAGAATTATCATTTTAATTCCTAATTTTAACCCTATTCCTGCTAGGGGGGGGGTCAATTTGACCCCCCCCCTGTAGTTTTTTTTACATAACTCAAAAAGTATTGGTCTGAGACTGTTGAAATTTTCTGACTTTTCTTACATACCCAAAGCCCTTCCTTTAGGTCTAAAACCGGGCTTTAATACTAACTGCCTGAGTCCTCAGGCACACTGCCTGAATGAGTGCTTTTTCCTGTAACAAACTAAATCTTTTTTTGACCCACTTCCGCTTGTCAGATTTTGATAGAATTTAGCTTTTTGGAAAACCTTTGACATAAGGAAACAAATCGCCCAATTTTGCAAAAAAAAATTGCAAATATTTTGCAAACAACCTGTCAAAGGAAATTTGCACATTTTTAGTTTTTCTTGATTAAAAATCAGGTTATTTTAAATTTTGCAAAAATTTTTGCATATTTGAAATGGCATGGTCAAGGGCTTTTCAAAAATGTATAATTTTTCATTTTGTGGACAATTTTTTTTGCAAACATTTTACTTTATAACTGGATTTTGCGAAAAAAAATTTAGTTTTTGCAAATTTGCAAATTTTTTGCAGATTCTAAAAGTAGAGCACAAGAGCTTTCCAATGGTGTATCATTTGTCATATTTGGACATCAAACATGGGATTTAGAGGGGGGGTCAAATTGACCCCCCCCCCAGCATATCCTGGTTTTCAAGTACCCCAGCAGAGATAGGGTTAATTATGAAAAGTTATTTATAAAGACGACCTCAAAGTCATCACTTAATTTCCATGTGTCTTGTTTAAAATGTAAGACATAGATTATTTAACAATAACAGATAAAACATTAAATGTTGTCTTTTCACAAATTAAGAATTTTTAACTTTATTAATTTATTTTGATTAAATTTTCCAATATTTTTAAATTTTAATGTGATGGAAACATTTAGAGACTTCTATATTTCTTGTTTTTCATTCTTTCTTCTTGATCGTTCATTCCTCGTCCATCCTTTAATCATACTTTGGCTAATTTTAAAATAAAAATGAATGAATTTTTTGGATGTTTCTGCAGCTAGCCAAATTGTAATGCTTAAATCCCCTTTTAATTTTCCTGTTCAAAGTTTTCTTCTTCCTTGTTTATCTTGTTTTAAGCCCCCCATCTCTACTGTCAAGAGATTTCCCTTCCACTTTTTTCTGTTCAATTTCTTTTTCTTCTTGCTTCTTGTTTCTTGTTTTTACACTTTAAGGCCTTTCCAAATAGTTCTTTTGACATCGAGTTGTGGAGTAGGTAGGAGAGATAAGGAGGTTTGTAGGAAGAAGGTTATAGAGGATTTCTCCCTGTGTTCCTTCATTTTATACTGTTTACGAGTTAAGGGGAATTAAGGAAACCCATAACTGCACTCCATATGCAAAATGGGGAGTTGTGATCCCTGAAAGCTCTCTTGAGAGGAATCTTTATTAGCAGTCCTTTCCTCACATCTGGTTAAGTGAAACACTGGTATCGTTCTGCATGGCTTGTATTCACACAATGGGTTAAACTCCTCTTTCAGTGCACCAGGCTGAAGATGAAGTTTTGTTTTAATCTTAGTACAATTCTTGCTTCCCGTGCAGGAGCTCAAATGAGTTCCACGCAGGTAGCGTTAAATTAAAAAACAGAGAAAGGGCATGCTCATAAATTCTTTGGGCCTCTGCCTCAGGGTTATTGTAAACAAAAAACCTCTAAATCTTTAAAAAAGAGGGCATCTAGTGTTCTATCTATTATCTTAAGTAATCTATGGTGTGAGATATTGAGGATTAATCAATTCTGGATTTTCTTTTGTTAAAGTGATGATGCGTCTTTAGAAACAGCAATAAATCTGAGACTAAAATAGTACTACGTTTTTTGTTTGATTGTGATAAACTTTTTATTCCATTGAAGGTTCTGATTTTGGTTGGGGATTTTGCTCTAATGAATGCACACAGCAACTTGTTGAGGCACCATCTACCATCGTTTTTATTGCAACACTTTTTTTTATTCAAATTCTTGATTGCAATTTGTTATGTTTTTTTTGGCCTTTTTCACTTTTTTCACAATATTCAATTTTCCACAATAAGCTATTTTTCAAAATTAACAATTTAAAGAAAATTTATCTTTTTTATTTTTTCTCATTTACAATAATTAATCGAGATGGTGGACTATATCCAATATGCAGTCAAATACGGTAAAAAAACAATTTTTAATTTTTAAACTTTTTTTTCAAAAATTTTATATTTCAAAGTTGATATATTTATCTGAAACTAACCTTAAAGGAACTATCAATTTAATTTCAAGTAACTTTCCAATAAATCAAGGATATGCCTGATTCACAACGGTACACTTATAACTATTATTTGATTAATTCTGCATGTAAGATATTGTAGTTTTTATTTGTCACTAAAGTAAAAATGCACATTTAATTTGATAAGAGAACCCCCAACCAATAATAATCAATTATTGATGTTAAAACAAAGATATCTCATTCATTCTTCATGTAAAAATTAAGTAAATTGTGAGTTAGATTAAAATCTTGTTTTTAATCATAACATCATTTATTGTAATGATTTTTAGAAGATGTGCGTTAAATTTCTAGTATATATCCAAGTATCTTCTTTTTCTCATCCATGTGCGTCAATTCAAAACTAGAGGAGCTAAAAGGTCACAAACTTGAACCAATACCCTCGCAAAGGTTTTTCAATTGGTCTGTGTTTTGATTATCCAACCAGCTTCTTAAAGTATTGTTGTGAATCAGATATGCCACTCTGTAAGGTATTCATTACCTTTAAGGATGTTTTTAAAGGAATATTTTTAAAGGGAGTGCTTCGTAACATAGATGATGCTGATGTTTTAAGTGAGAAATTTTGTGACTCACTCCTCAAAGAATCAGAAGAGGAAAAAAGATTTTTTTTTATTTAAATGCTATATTTATAGTCTTTAAAGGGAGAGACCAGCTAGGTAACATATTTAAAGAGAAAAAAAATTGTGATTAATTTGATACCAATGAGACGTTTATACGATGAATTATTGTTATCAAATGAATTCTAAATTTTTTCTGTACAATACTGCACTCTTGGTTCAAATATATTACGGAGCTGGTCTCTCTTTAAAATAATTTTTAAAGTTTCCTATTTCCGGTTCTTTTCTCAGTTTTATTTCCTATGCATAGAATTGATCAATACAATACGTTATCTTATGAATTAAACCATTTGCTTATATTTATATATTAGCTGAAGGGTCCGGCATTGCCCGTGAAAAAATTTTTTATTTTAATTCTGAAAGAAAAAAATGTTAACTAAAAACAATTCTAGTTTTTTCTAGCCTTTAACACCCCCGGCCACTATTGAGCGTCCACAAAAAAGTCAACCCAATCGGTCCAGCCGTTTGGCAGGCTATACGACAACATATATTCGAATGTCTTGTTTTTATACTAGCTGAAGCGCCTGTCGTTGTTCGTAAAAAAGGGGGAAAAAGTGAAATAAAAACTTCGAATTATTTTTTATAGCCTATAAAACTCCCAGGCCACCCCTGAGTGTCCATAAAAATTGCAGCCCAATCTGTTTAGCCGTTTGGCCGGCTATAGGCAACATATATATACGAATGTCTTATTTTATCTTATTACATATAGAAACTTATAGCTTGCCAAATCAGCAGATTCATTTATTTTGAGGGAACTCATGATTACGCCGGGGGTAGCATAAGATCATAATTAATTGATTTTGATCTATTTCACAGGCATTGCTGGGCATTTAAGCTAAAATCATGACTTAATGCCTAAGCACGGGTAAACAGCAGAAGAATAAGTGAATAAGTGTGTGAATAAGTCTTTTTCATACTTAGGTTTATGGCACAAAGTATTCAATAAAACCAGAGGAAAAATATTAATTTATAAAAATAAATTTATTAAATCTATCCCAAGATAAACTTTGACTGATAAAGATGTCACTGTGTAGAACCCTCACAGAGTGTACATGAAAAAAAATGTACTCAATATTTTTTTTAAAATTTTTCTAAATAATGAAACTAAACAAATTGTCACAATCTCTAATTTTTTAGTCGTTTTACCTTTCTGCCATGATTCCGTAGACCTTAGATACTTCAAACTACTAATTCTGCTAGATCTTATGAACATCAAATAATTAAATATTTACAAGATTAAGATAAAAAAATTGGAACTTAAAATTGAAAATATATTCATCAAATTGATATTATAGTTTAGTGTAGGTTTTATGCATTGGACGTATGAACAAGCTGAAATACCAGGTTACATGTTTTCTCTAAAAGTAAAAAAATTGTTTTTAAACATTAAAAAAAATCTTATTTAAATGGACGAATACTGAACAGTAAGATCAAAACATATTAAATTTGTTTGTATTTTAAAGAAGTTAAAATCAGCGGAAAATAGAATTTTTCCAATCCTTGAAATCCGATGGTAGACTCTTCAGATATGTCAAACTACAATTTCTATTAGTTCAAAAAGTCTCAGTTTAAAATTGGTTGTCACCATTAGGTCGCAAAGATGTAAAAAATTTAAAACTGATTTAGTTGTGAGTGTTAAGTTTTATTATTTTTAAAACTTATTTAAGAATAATCACTTACATGAGACTTATCCCTTTTCTAAAGGCGTTCTACACCCATGATGACCCGTATGGAAACACCACACAATGGGGTAAACTTGATGATGAATTCTTTGCTGCTAATCCTCAAGTTATAAAGGACATATATAAGTAAGTGCATATATTAAGCTTTGATAAGATCAAAATTAAGCTTGCTAAGGATTTGAGCTTTTGCCATTCTTTTTTCAATGATTTTTCAATGCGAGCCATTATCTTTACAACCCTAGGTTGTAAAGAGTTTTAAATATCAGGCTACAAAGATAAAGGGATTACAATTTTTAGGTTGTGGCAAAGACTATAGTTCTTTAAAGTCAAATTGCCTGCCAAACTCATGAAATAATTAAGGACCTAAAATCGATTAGAATAAGCTGAGGTTGCCCGAAGTTCTCAGTTATGACTATTGGTAAACTAGACAGAAGTAGAATGTCAGTTTTTTGCGACATTACGGAGGAACATTTTATGCTAGGGTTTCCATTATTCCGGAGGAACATTTCCATTTTGAAAATGGAATGAACCAGAAATTTGTTCCATTAAGTGGCCTTCCGGGAAATTTCTGGATGTAATGGAAACCGGTATTTTTCCGATTTATGTGATGGAAAGTGGAAATTTCTGAAACCATGTTCTGGAATTCCGAAATGTTCCGGAAAAATTCAGGTTTTGATTCCATAAGCCAGAAAGTTTTTCGAGATAATTCACAGTAGTATAACTTTATCTAAAGCTAAACCAGGCGCACTTTCTATTATTATGTAGATAGTATTAATTACTTGTTTTAACTTTTACATAAGTTAAAAATGTCTTTTATGTTTTTCCAGAACCTTTTCCCGAAAAAATTGAGACCAATTTTTTCATTAAACAGAATTTTCCAGAACAATATTTCAGAATTTTCCGTAATTCTGGAACAACGTTCTGGAAATTTCCGATTTATGGAAAAAATCATTTCGGAAATTGTTTCGGAATTCCGGATTTATGGAAGCTTTTCCATAATGGAAATGGAAAAAAATTTCTGTATCATTTCCGTATATAAATCGTAACCCAGAATTTCAGTGGAAACCCTGGTTTATACAGTTATATTAAAGAAATTCTAAACATTTATGATTTTCTCTATTGCTTTTCATTCATAAGGAGCTTTGAATAAAAATCTCTAAGATTTCTTTCTTGCATGTAAATTATGTTAGTTTGACGTAACATGTCTCATATCTTTAAATATCAAACAACATTTTTGCTTTGAAGTTATTGTTCAGTAAGTATTCTTTTTACGTAATTAAATTATTTTATCGAAATTAATATTTCATCATATTTTAGAAGAACTCAAATAGATGTTGACAGTAAAGGATATTATGTGTCATCAGTAGGTGAAACATTTTCAATCAATTTTGTTTAACCTAATGCATACAATATTTTCTGGGGTTATTCTGTCTAACAAAACCAATTGTTGAAGACTGCAATACTATATATCCATATATTTTTAATATAAGTGGTGGAACCTTTTTATTGCATAAACATACCTCTTTGAAGTTATTAAGGTTTTCAATCGTAACTTCACTGCATGGATTTGTGAGCAACTGTGTAGAATTGCGCTCAAATGTTCATGTATTGCGGAATTAAGATGAAATTACAGGGCTTGCAATTGCCTGCAAGTAAAATTCACTTTTGTTTGAAAAACCAGTAACTGCATTAAGCTGAAAAGTTAAAACAAAACTTTTCACGGATCAGTTCTATCCGACTTTACAAAGGAACTGAGTTTTTTCCACAAACTTAAATGATCTAATTTCTATATCTCTGCATCCGGATGGTTTAAACCTTGGAGATTTCAAACTTAGATTGTTTGATCTAACAGAATTCATAGTTTGAAATATCAAAGGTCACTGACATTGTGTTGAAATGATATAGGGATTGGAAAATCTGAGTTTGTGGCAAAACTTTTTTTGAAAACGAACGTTTAACGATCGTTTTTTGTTTCGTTTTTCAATCGTTTTCAAAAATAATTCCTTCCTTTTCAAAAAAAACTATTGTTTTTAAAACGACATACTCGTGTTGAACTTTAAGAAAACGAATAACGATTGTTTCTGAAAACGGTCGTTTGATAAAAACGATTTGCGACCATTATTTATACAAATGTTTTTTAAAAACAATCGCTTTTTAATAAACGATCGTTTTTGGAAAAAAAATGTTATTGATGCTTATGTTAACGATCGTTAACAAATGGTCATTGTTAACTATCGTTAACAAAGGGAGCTGTCATTAACAATTGTTAACAAAACGACCAACTTTATGAAAACGGTCGTATTTGGAAATACATCGTTAAAAAAAATTACATGCAACTTTATTGAATGTCGTCTTACATGAAGTTAAAAAGTTGTGGAGAGCTAAAACTTCTTGATATTTTCCTAAAAATTACTCAATGATAAGTACAGATGCCCTTCAGGTCGGTTTCCTCTCTTCGTTAACGATCGTTAACAAAGGATCGTCGTTAACGATCTTTATCGAAGGGTCGTCGTTAACGATCGTTAACGAACTATTTTTATAAAAACGATCTTATTGAAATCATTTTTAAAAATGGTCGTTTTTGAAAACGATCGTTTTAAAAAAGACCTTTTAAAAAAGAACTTTTTGAAATATAATGATCGTTTTTAAACGATCGTTTCGTTTTCGATTTTTCGCATAGATAAATAAATAAACATAGATAGCTTATGTACGCAAAATCACCAAGAATTGTACTGTCCGCGAACTCATACTTCTAAGGGTCAAAGTGTAATTCAATGATAAGCGGGGTGGTTTGGTGTTTTTATTTAACTATTTAAACAACAATATTTCACTGAGCAATATATCATATTGACGAGAACTGAAGAAGGACATGAGAAGGACTAAACTAACTTAAATTTCTCTCTACAGAACTAATGTACACCACAAGTACTCAATGACATAAGAACAGCCAATATTCACAACCGACCTAGTTAATCTATATAATAGGAATATCTTTAAAACATCTCTGTACATTTATATCTTTCAAAATGAAAAATGTCGTCTTATGTGCAATCTATCTTTATCTATGATTTTTTGTCGTCGTTTTCATAACAAAACGATCGTTTTCAAAAAAAATGAAATCGTTAAAAAACCCTACCTGGGATACATAATAATCGTTTTTCAGCTTCTATAGGGGTGAGGGAGTTCTTCACAGTTTAGTTATAAAAGCTTCACCTTTATAATCTAAAAGTTTTTATTAGTTTGAATTCTTAATGGCTTGCTTCAATATATCCTATATATAAGGGACGTGTTCGGAACTAAGTTGTTCTAAAAACAAAACAAAAACCTTGAGTTTGCATGAAATAGGCTATACAGAGTTTGAAAACCTACTTTTAAGGATCATGTCAGGGAGACAGTGGTGGACCTGTTTTCCAGGTGAGTGATAGCTTTAACTTGCGCAGGATTTGACTTTTGCCGCGTTTGGTTTTCTTGGTTGAATTTTGTCGTCTTTGCCTTTATGTTTTGCGACTTCATTTAGAGAGATATGTAAAAGCTGTTTTAAATAAAGTTTGTTTAAATTACTGTATTATACTGTTTAAGATCGATTTAAGTTTTATTCAGCACTCTTTTGTTATGGATTTACACTGTATAATTTTTAGGGTTTCCTTCCACCAGAATTCCAAGTTACGGTTTAGGTACATACAGAAATGCCATAAACCGGAAAAATTTCTGGGTTCTGTCATGTAAACTGGAAAAAATTCGGTTCCCATTTCATCCGGAATTTCACTTTAAAGAAAAAAAGAACTGAGTTTTGGCACAAACTCGGATTTTTAAATCCGTGTATCTCTGCAACACGTTCTTTGATATTTCAAACTAAGAATTCTGACAGATCAAATATTCTAGGTTTGAAATATCAAAGGTTGCAAAGATAAAGTGATTTGAAAATTGTAGTTTGTGGCAAAAACTCAACTCCTTTGAGGATCATTCCATTTTTAAAATGAATTTTCCCCAAAATATTATTTTGTGATTTCTGTAACAGTTATTTTTAGAATCTGGAGGTGACCAACAAAACGTTTATTCTGACTGGAATTACAAACGGGGGAGTGGGTAGAGGGGAATTTAATTCTATTGAAGGTTTTTATACTTTTATTAAATTAAAATTGAGATCAAAAGTTCATTTTATTCTTTGTGAATTAATCACCTTTTTTTAAACGCAGAATTCTTTATAAATTCTGACTTAAGCTTAGTTAAAACTCTATTTGTAAGATTTAAGAATTTCATGAAAACAAATATGACGTAGATTTCCAAATGGGTTCACAGTTAAAAGATATATTTCTATAAAATATTTACTGTTCCTAAAGTGTTGGTGTGTTCACATTTTGATTTTAAGATTAAGTTAGTTTTAAAAGTAAAATTTTTTACTGTAATCATTAGAATAAAATCAAATTTAAATTTGCAAACTTTTTAAAACCTAAATGTGTATTCAAGAAAAACTGAAAATTTTCAAATTTCATTTAAAGGCGTCTGTGCAAAAATTGTGCAATCTGGTTTCTTTTGTTATAGGCTTATCAAAGAGCTATAAAATTTTGAAATCCAACTATAGGAAGTAGGTTTAAATATATATTTAGTTTGGTATAGTGAAAATAAGGCATTAAGACAGTATGCCTGAGGACTCAGTGACGGACTTGTGTTAGTCAGAAAATTTGAGCTTCATAGCTCAAATACTTTTTGAGTTATCACAAAAAACGATAGGGGGGGGGGGCAATTTCCCCCCCCCCACACTTAGGGTAAATAGGGTTAACTAAAAATTACTTATTTTCAGCAACTTGTGGAGGCTTTAATAATCCTACTCTTTACACTAGGTATATGCAGTATCCGACATTTATTTTTCTAAAAAAATAAATCTATTGATTTTTTATAAATAACTCAAACTTAATGATAATGGTGATTATTAAACATTATTGATTACTATGATAATAATAATAATAATAACATTAATGGAACTCTATTCCATTGGAAATAAAATCTTTAGGCACCCTAGCAAGTTTTAAAACAAGTCTTAAAAAAGTTTTCTTGAAGAATGTAATAATTTTCGTTGTATAAATCGAAATTGCTTTTCTTGCTAAATCTTGATTCTATCCCCTTTCCCCTGTTATTATAACAAAACAAAATGAAACATAAACATTATAAACTTTGTGTGCTGGGTTGTCCACCCCCCCCCCCTACGATCATTTCTTCTTCTTTTCCTCTCTATTCTTAAAACACCTTTCGTCTATCTACTACTTTTCCTTTTCCTCCTTTTCCTTTATTTTTAAATTGTTTTTGTTTTATTTGGTTTTATTTAAATTGAACATGGATGTATCGCTGCAGAAGGGCCTCTCATTCAAAACAACCAACAATGGTTAGAGAGGCCCTGGCTAAATTAAAATGTAAAAACTGTGAAATTTAAATTGTTTTTAATTAAATTTTTAGTCAAATATATATCTCTCTATCTAAGTTAAACTGCCTTTTTAAATCAGAAATACATAAGAGGAAGTCTGGTTTTGGCTGGTGGAAATACAATTTGGGACACAGCTTGATTCGTTTTTTTCAAATTGTTAAGGCTTTTTTATCTTCAAAAACTAAAGTTTCGATAAAAATCTAAAAAGTTTTACAAAAATTGTTTATTCTACTCATTTTCTTTACCCACACTTTCCCAAATTTTGGCCCTAAGAGAAAATTTATTGTAAACGAACTAAAAAACAATCTCTAGTATAAAAATATTGCAAAGTTTGATAAAAGCAAACCTTAACTGCAAGTAGATACAGGTTTGAAATGTTGGAAGTTCACATTATTCATGTGTTACCTTTTAAAAATTCAAAACGTCAAAAACAAACCACAAGCTGACCAATACATTTCCATTCACTATAAACAAACTAATTAATGACTTATCTTCTTTTTAATTAAGAATAGGAATTCAATTTTACCAGCATTTTATTT